AAACTCTGAGTCGGTCTGCCAGTGTCTCATTTCTCTCTTACTGTGTTTGAACAATTGTCAACCCCTGACATAAGCAAAACATTTATTTTGGCAAAACAGGTAAATAGATACAAAAAAAAAACAAAAAAACGTACATAAATAAATCTCCCTTACCAAGAATGAGTAGAAAGTAAATTGTCCATCTAAGTCTGGAGAAAAAAAAAACATCTGTACATACTGTCATGTAGCACTATGTACATACAGATGCACATCCACAGTGAGTGAGCACAAGAGGACTGGAGGACAATGACAAAAAGTCTTTTGTAAAATTTTTATTTATCTATTTTGTTACTAACATTTATCGTATGTGTTTGTTTTTTTGCAAACAATGCACGGTGTTATATTAATTAAACTGTGCAGGGACCCTGCTGCTGGTGTGTGGATGAGCAGCTCCGGAGTGAATGGTTTTCAGCTGCATGTATAAACTATACTTTTTAACTATATTTTTCTTCTTTTTAACAAAAAAACCTTTTGCTTATTATGAATGTTCAAAATAAAAATGTGTTGTTGTTAATTCCTAAATTAATAATGCATCTATTTTACAAATATACACATGTTAAGTAAATCCCATTTCCAACTCCTGTTTTAGGACCTCCCCTTGTTGCTCAGCTTCCTCTCTCTGCTGTTCATCTGTTTCCTGCTGCTGGACTTCCGTTATTTTATCTTCAAACTTGAGAGAGAAGGAAATATAAGAAGAGAGGTTAATCTGTAATGAATGACTACATAAGTTACAGCTGAGTACATTTATTTGCACAGTAGTCTCCCCCTGCTGGTCATTATAATTAATATAAGTTGAACAAACTTTGCTTAATTGGCTTCACTTTTCACACCCAGAACATAATTTGTGATAAATCCATGTTATGATGCATATGATTACAAGATGTATAACATTTAACTTGACTGTAAGATTCAAAGATGAAAAACTACAGTGTAATACTGGGCTTTACAATAAAACAATACAGAGATAAACAGGTAATTTTATCGTTCTCATGGTCAATTCTAGGATGGTTTCATGACACTAAACTCTGAGTATAACTATATAACTTTTAGATCACTCTCAATACGTGTATGATAATGGTATTTACTATGACAGACAAATAACTAAAACAAAATAGAACAAACAAAAAAATTAGAAGGAAATAAAAAAAATTAGCTAGATCTCCTGCTACTGTTATGAGTGGCTGTGCGCAGGCAGGAATAGGACCCAAGGTGCAGACTCCGGAGACAGTCGTGAACTCAAAACAGCTTTAATGTTAAACTCAAAACATATCATAACTGGAAAAAATAGTGATGTGACGTTCTGTATCGAGGCTTCGGAGCGTGTGTCGAGTAATGGAGGGGGCGTTTCCGCGAAGCGCGTATCGAGGCTTGCTTCATTTATGGGAGGAGCTGAAAATGATGACGTCCGAAGCCTCGCTGCCCGGCTGTACCACGTGACTGGTTCAGGAAGCGGTTCGAACTTTGCCGCAAATAATCATTTTCCATACTGCCAGCATAAATATGCACAGTATACTGCCATCACTACAATATAGATGTTTTACACACTCCTTTTGTTGTTGACATTTACAGGCTGTGTGCAAAATGCCACACTCTTCAAATTCATGCCAACTAATATTTTTACGTCCAGTAGGTGTCCTGCTAGAGCAAATGAAGCTTCAAGATGCCAACGAATATTTTTACGTCCAGTAGGTGTCCTGCTAGAGCAAATGAAGTAGTGATGTGTCCTGTGTGTCGAAGCTTCGGGTAATCGCGGGGGCGTTTTTCTGAAGCGCGTATCGAGGCTTGCGTTGATTACATATGCAGTGACGTTCGAGGCCTTGCGGGCAGTCCGTACCACGTGACTGATTCGGGAACTGGTTCACCGGTTCGCGCCAGATTCGAAATAAAATGGGCAGCAAAACACAGCTGATTCCCCCATCACATCGTGTTGTGGAATTGGATTATGTACGTGTTACACAGCTACTGGAGTACTGGACACAAATTTCTTTATCCAAACTTGTATAAACTTGCTGTGGTTTTTCTTGCAACCCCTGCTTCATCTGTGCCCTGTGAGAGGATATTTTCAAAAGCAGGAGAAATCCTCTCAAAAAAGAGGAACCGTCTTAAGCCCAGCACTGTGGAAAAGCTGCGATTTTTGAATAAAAACAAATGAAAACTTTTCCCTAGTGTCATGAGCACTGTTATACAAGCACATTCACATCACAACTCCCTCCCTTTTTGTTTCCATGTACATTCCTGTGTTAAGCTGCCAATTTATTATACACAAATATTAATTAAATTAATATAATATAAAATTAGTATAAT